GGCGAGGAGTTTGAAGAGGAACCAGAAAGGAACACTGTGTCCAGCTGACTGTAAATTACCCTGTCTGGATTTTGATCATGGGAATATTCAATAAACCCGAATTGCAAAAGTCTTCTACAATATGTAATAGCAGCTCATTATTCAATTTTCAGAAATAAAAAATGCACAGTGACTTCTTGGACCATTATTTTATGGACCAAGTAGTGGTCTATTATGGGGACGTTTACTGTCAGATTTAAAGAATAGACAAAAGTCACTCTAAATGGCCCGGCCACTTGAGGATTGATACTCCCCCACAAACACAGCTCTCTAAACCACCAGTTCACACACATCGCAACATCTCATCTCTTCTGTGTACTCACATTAGAGCTACATATTTGGAAAGCCTACAGTAAGAACATTCATGCAGAGTCAACCCAAAAGAAAACCTGCCCATGAGTCTACTGCCTCTGACCAGCAGCAGAGGCTCAGAAAAAGACTGTAAGAAACAGAGGACGATTAGAGTAACCCTTGGTAGTATTAGCCATCTCCTCCCCAAGGAACCAAACCCAGTATGTTTGCAAACTTTCTTATACCACACTACAAACCCTGGGATCAAATTGTACCCACACTAAGTGTGGCAACTTCCTTGGATGTCAACAAAACTGGTCTTCACAAAAAGAGAAGAAAATCCAAGTTTATCCATATTCTGGCAGACTACACTACCAGTAACAATCCAGAACTGGCCTGAGTTCACCTTTTCAAGACACATGATTATTACATTCTTACTTCACACTATAAACAACAGAGACAAATACTGCAAGACATATTTTCCACAAAAGACTACTAGTTGGCCTGCTTTTCTGTGTCCCAATTTTGCATGTGCAAACTCTCTTGAATTACAAGTGCAAGTGTCTACACCAAGCATATTACACATGCACCGAAGAAAAGGTCATTTTTTTGAATAAGAGGTCTGGCAGGAAGTTGAGAAAAAAAGCAAACCAGCTTAACATATTTCAAACTACTGAAAGATCTTGTTTTTAGAAGACAACGGGAAAGGAGGAGAAGGATGATATCCATGTCAGAGCTCCATCACTTAAAATCAAAATGACATATTCAGCAAGGCTAAAAGACTCAAAAGAGCAAGTGGATTGAAAAAGGATGAATTTTTCATTTTGTTTGTGCTTAGTTTTGAGCTTGGGTTTAGGTACAAACAGTGACGTACACAAGAGAAACTAATGTGGTGATTAGAGAATTGAGATGGAAGGGAACTCAATGCATAATGCACCACTTGAAAAAACAAGTGCAAGGATAGAAGTAGGTTTACAGAGCATAAAGACTGGAATGGCAGGTGAAGGGCAAGAGGAGGAGAGAGAAAAGGTTCCAGTGAAGTTATGCAGTGATGTAAAAGGAGAAAAATACTTAAAGTAAAAGGAGAAGCACTAGTGATATTAAAAAACTGGATAACGCATTGGCATCAACTTGGTGAGCAGTATTTCAAACAGGCTGTAGGGGAGCAATCAGGACATAACAGAACAAGTGGCTGCATACAAGCCAGAAACGTGACTACAGTAATCCTGAGTCGTACAGATCTGAGGGGTGCTGCCCAAACACCGGTTCTGCGTGTCCCCAGCACAGTGAGGAAGAGATCTAAACTACATCTCCCTAACACCACCACAACGGACTCCAAACACTTCAATTCACACATCCTGCCTGCAAGTCATCACTGGACACACACATGGTACAGAAGAAAGCTGCAGCACAAATAATACTGGACAAGCTCTAGATCTGATTGTGACCGATTAAATTCTGTTGTTTCCCTACTGAGACAACAACTGAGCACTGACATTATGCTTTTCCTCTTCCACATCATCACAGTTTATACCTGAAAATCATGCTCTATAAAGAACTTCCCTTCTATTTGGCAGGTGAGTCAGATATGCAGCATCCACTGTCCACTATACCAGAGTAAGATATGTTACCTTGACCAAATTTCATCTGCGTTGAACACTTAACTGTATGAAAATTAAACATTGCTCATGGTAACATACACAGTGCAAACACCCTGGGGCCACAGCGTTCTTCACTGATGTCTTCCTGCACAAGGACAAGTTCTCTCCCATCCTGGGAAAAAAAAGAGTCAGATTTCTGCAGAAAAAACCCCAATCATTTGCTGACACTAGTAGTGACTATAGCTTCTTCCCCTCTTGAACCTTCATGTGTCTTCATGCATTTTAACATCTTGAATCTACATCTGGCCATAAACCTCAGCATGGCACAATGTGGTATATTTCTCAATCAACAGTTATGCTGATATCAGTTTAGACAATTATATTAATGGAAAAGGCCAGGTTCCTAGTTGATTTTATCACTTTACCACAGACTTTACCAGAGTTGATCATCCTTGACTCATCAGTGGGAACCGGTAAAGTGGGAGGTGAGAACTTGTAACGGTGCATTGCTTATTTGGAGAAGTCCTATGGGGCTATCAGAAGTACAGCTTGGCTCCTACGCAAGGCCCAAGGCCCAGTATCCCTCAGAGTCCCAGCTTACTTCTCCCCACCCCATACTTAGGAGGGACTTCTAAAATGCTGCAAGATGCACCTTGGCCCACACCGACTCATTATGCTGACAACGCTTTGCTCAATTTCTCCTTGATACCACAGCTGTGATTGTGCCCCTCAGTGCTTTGCAGGGTTATAAGCACAGGTAGAAATTAACTGGTTTAAATTTAATCCTGAAAGGATGATGGCAGTGATGGAGAAGAAAATACCCTGAGGCCCTAGCAAGCACTATAATTATGCCTTCTGTAAGAATAATTCCCATTCTTGTCCAAGTGGCTTGTAGTTTCAGGAATTTACTGGATCTACTGCTGAGCCTAGATTCTCAGAGAAACCTTGCATCTCCCACAATCCTATGATCTCACTCCCTCGTGTGTCTTGTTACAATCTTCTCTACCTACTTCATCCTTACGCTGCTATGGTATAATGGCATTTCTAGGACCACCCCCAAAAATGACTTGAAAACAGGAGTAGCACAGGATATTTTACGGAAAAGGTCCTTTGCTGAAAAGCTGTCCATTCACAGTCCAGCTGAGCACTAGCTGTATCACTCTATGCTTTCTGTAGCCAGACCTGTAATTAGAAGGTATTTTCCTCATGGATGAGATGAGGCTGGTCAAGAGTTTATCAGGCTCAATTGAAAGCACGGGACACACTGGTTTTACAGACAGCCATTGTCAGAACCTAACCACTATCAACGCTTATACATACAAAACACATTCAAACATTAACTAATGTGATACTCACACAAACCACAGCAAAGAGGTCGTAGGAACTGACCTGTTTTACACAGCTATGCCTAATTCACTGACCTGGAACAGCCTTTAATTAGGCATTTCCACACTTGTAAAACAAACACAGAAATAATGCCCTTTCACATAAATAAGAGATTTGCAAGTCAATTTTCCAAACAAAATACAGCAGAGCAAAACCCCTTGAATCCATGAGGTGCTTATGGGGAAATTATTCATATTTGCCTTTCTCATATATGCCTTTCAAATATGGCATGGAGCCTAAAATGCCAGACGTATTGGCATTTCTGTACTTTGGGCTTTCCTAAGAAAACAGAAACCACAGTCAAAAAACACATTTGGAATCACTTCATTTCAGCCACCATGTTACAGTTGTGTCCTGTACGAGCTCCCACAACTTGCTGTATTCCAACTGCTGAGCATGACTAAACTAACATACAGAAAGTCTTATTCGTAGGAGGCTGTTCACGGGGGAATGAAGATAAATACGAAGATGCAGTAACAGGATCTAAGCAAACAGCACAGGCACACTCAAATACCCAGTTCAAACAGTAACAGCACATTCTGACCTGTTTCAAGGGAAGACCTAATTCCCTTTAATGGATTAACTCCTCCACCCTCAAAGTCATTTTGCCTGTCACCTCCCAGGCTGATTCTTACCAAACACAAATGTGCAAATTTGTGGCCTTCAACCGATACTAACAAGGCTCCCTAGTTGGCAAGAACGTTGCTGCTGTCTTCGCATGACCTGCATTCTCTGTGTCTCCAGGATTAAAAAAAAAAATAATCCTATCGCCACAGAGTAATTCTAGAGCTGAAGAACTACCCACCTGTCCCCCTGTCATGTAGAAAGGCTACCTATATTTATTTCCCTGGTGAGATCCAGGCAATGTATTATTTCACTATAAACAAACTTACAGTCCTACAATGTCAAAGACAGCAAAGTCTGATACATCTTAAATGAGGAGCGTTACAGATCGCACCATCCTTAACCTAATTTAGGCAGGAGCGGAAGGGGCTGAAGCCACCAGCCTCCAAAGCAGCAACTATTTGGCTGCTTTGCCAGAAGAGCTTGAATCATGCAACACAACTACTGAGGTGGGCAGCAGTGTAAAAATTAAGTGTGGCTGCACTACTGGAAGAAGTCCAGATTCAGCACAGTCTCTATCAGCAGAAGTTCTGAAAAGTTATGACAATAAAATAAAGTTGTTTTCCCAAGAAACAACCCTGAGGGAGCACAGCGCCTGCTTGTCCATGTACTGGAATATCCACTAAGCTCCATTAGGGAATCGAGACCCACCTCTGGCTACACACAGAGGCAAAGCAGTAGGCTACTGAACTGCAGGTGAAACCTGCCAGAAGAGATCACAAAAACAGAAAAACTTTTTTCCAAGCAAGCTAACAATAGCAAAAGTCAGTATGACTCAGAGGACAAGTGGTAGACTGACGGCCCCAGAAACCCCAGTCCTGTCTCCTTTTCCCCAGTACAGCACAAGTAATCACTGCACACACTTCCTCGCAGTACATTTTTCATCAGTCTGGGTGGGTCAATTTCTGGAAAATTAAGTGCATTCAGTCCCTAACCTTCTTTTGCCATAGCAAATAAAGAGGTCAATACCAGGTTTGGATGAGAAGAATTGTTTTACAGAGAACTGTTAGTCAAACACAATTCCAGTGATTCCAAAACCAGTTAGTTAACAAGTGATACCTGAAGGAATGAAGAATGTATAGCCTTGTTTCAGCTCAATTCTTTGGCATCGTTCCACTCTGTCTCCTAGAAAGATATCACTTTGCTTTCCTGAGAGAACCCATTCTTCATAAAGTTCTAGATTCTGCAGAGTAGGCGGAATGAGCCAGAAGATCTACAAATAAAACAAAGATTTAACTATTACCAACAGTCAACAAAAATAAATAGCTGAGAAATCCCAACAAGGTTATCACATGTTAGACAAATGAACGTGTAACACCAAGCCTGCTTTCTGCATAAAACACGTGTTTTCCAGGTGTTGTACACAGAGGCGCACAGCAGACAGCAGCAGCAATTAGTCCGTGTGCTGGAAGTGGCAAGATAACTGTCAGTTGTCATCTCTCTTCCACGAAACATCTTACTCAGAAGATGCCTGCACAGTTTACTTTCAGTTCAGAACAGCTTGTTGGTATAATACAACTTTGTTGGACTCTATTGATGAACAGTATCTGTACCACAGAGATGTTCAATCTGCTGTATTTATTTCAGTTCTCACCATACGCTGTCTATACTAGAGCTGGGAAAAGCAACCTAAACCAGTAAAAATGTGAATGCAGTTATACATGCTATATGTTTTAACCCTTCTGTATCCTGTAAAATTTCAGTTCAGGCATAGTGTGCATGTGCTCACAAAAGAAACATGGAATCTCTAAAAGGAAATAGAAGCTCTAGCTACAGAAGGAGACTTGTGAGGGCACTCTGACCCAACAAGGGTACACACAGCCACGTACTCACTGCAAGACACTTCTAAACCATGCAGCAAATAATAAGCCTGAAAACACTACCACCAACAAATGAAACGTTTGATATTTCAAATAAATCACTCGTTTGTTTCATAAAGGTGAATGGTGTCCTAGTTCAGGAAACCCTGTGGACATTAACAAAGGTAGCTGAAATAAACAGATCACTGGTTAGTACTGCTCCCCGCCCCCCCAAAAAAGAAGAGAAAAAAAAAAGAAAAATTAAAGCAAGCAACCCCTCCCCTCCATAAGAGGCACAGAGAAATAAAAATAAATATCAAACAACAAGGTTCACCTACCTTCCCCCCACGGAAAACGTGATACCACACTGAAGTGCCACCAAAATCAATATGAAAATCAGTGAAGCATCCTTTCACACTCATCAAACAATACCTGTAAGCCGAGTGAAGGACAAAAATGAATCAGTCTGAAACAGTATTTTTCACATCTTAAGTTGCAGAGGTTAACTGCACGTACAATACTGTTTCCACCAATTAAGTTCCTGCATTTATAGTACTGGGGTTTGTCTCATGAAGTAAGTATAACTAGGTTTCAGCTGAAAAATGCGTATCTCCAAGGTTGAGTTTGCTATTCGTACATCTGGAACGAAAGCTTTCAGAGTTAAGGAATGGAAAAACATTAAAAGTTATGTTGTTCAGAAATATTTCTTATGCCACTGCCAATCCCCAGGGTGATCTGTTTAATGCTCTCCCTTCACTGCTTGAGAGACATAACCTTCTCCAAAAGTTGTACACAAATTGCTTCAAAGAGCAAAGTTTTGAAAAATCTAATTTGCTTATAAATCCTCCTGAATGTTCTTTACCTACTTGCCACTAATGCCATTTTTGCAAGGATTGGGGGACAGAAAACTCATTTGGCAAATTAAGTCCTTTTTGTTCACATTTCTAGGCATTTCTGCATCAAAATACATAAAGGAACCAGCTGGCAGCATCGCTAAGTATCAAATCCACTATTTTTTATGCTGTCTTGATTCAGGTTTTCCAAGCAGTTTAAAGTCGGCATCACTGGAAAGAGATACAAGAGCTCTCATTTCGCTGCATGAATCTCAAGCCTCCAGCCACCATCTGTAACTAATGGCCGAATTACAGCCGCCCTCCTCACTATAGGCACCTTTGCAAACGCAGGAAACACACACCACTTAACCCACTAACCTCTTTTCCTTGTTCCGGTCTCCGTTTCATGGCTTTTTTTTTTTTTTTGTTTGGTTTTTTTTTTTTTTTGGAGGGTGGTTATGGAAACAGTACCAGAATGGGATTTATAAAAGAAAAGAAAAAAGGTTTCATTGAACTGTGTCTTTTTCTCATCACATTCAGGTAGAGAGAATCTCAGCAGTATGCAGACGGCGTGCAAAAGTCCCTCTAGATGATAGGCTGGAAAGGACCTTACCATGTGTCTGCAGAAGGCTGGCAAATCAGAGAGACTATAGGTACATAAGAGCCCGCTGCCTAGCAACCACATCCCGAGCCGGAGTTGACAGAATGATACGCAATGCTGTCATGAAGACAGTCAATTTGTGGGCTTCAAAAAAGGTCCTGCGCCTTTATCTCACAATTAAAACCTCTCCTTGTGCAATTACACATCTCTCCTCTTGCCCACTCTGGATTTTTTTAATTTTTATTTATATTTTTTTAATCCTTCAGAAGCAGGAAGAGAGCTTTTTCTGCCCCTGGGGTATTTCAGATGCTTCAAAAATCACAGCTAGCCAAGAAGCTGTCTAGACTCTCAATATGCTCCATTTCAAAATATGAGTCCTTCCCTCCCAAATACATTTTTTTTTAATTTCTCCTTTTATGTTTTCTCTACCAAGATGTTGTTGATTACAAGTCAGATAGAATTTAAAAACAATAAAAGAAGCCCAGAAAGGAAGTCGCCTTTCTTCCAGCCAAACTGCAAAAAGTCACAGATTGAATAATTGCTCATGAAACAAAAAAACAACATGGAAATTCTCAGTTTGTGGGCAGTGTTGAGTATTAGAGGTTCATGTTGTTTTAAAGTAAAAAATTTAAATCCTTATGGAATCAATTATTTTCGGTTTCAAAAAGGTCAGATGTAAAATACATCACACTAACACAAATTTTCTAAGGCAGTGCTACCTACCAACAATTACCCGTTCATATTAAGATTTTTCTGAAAGAGCATAAATGGCCTAAGCATTACCCGGTTTTATTTATTCGTCAGTAGTCAATAATCTAAACTTGAAGATGTCGATCTGTTTGTGTTCAGAGAGGAAATAACAGGATTGAATTCTCTGTCAAATCAAGGTGCTTAAAATTTAGTTTTATGAGGAGACACCAAGGCAGATATAACTGTGAACACGCAACTTCCCCCCCTTGTTTTTCCCTATTTTCCCTCTGTTTTCTTGAAACTCCTCTAAACGCAACAATTTCCATTCCAATAAAGGTGGGTTTAGTGAAAGAGCCACATATGGTGATTAATAAAAACCCAGAAAGCATTTGGAAAAAAAAAGAAAAAAACCCCAACCCACAACAGTTTTTCTTTCCATCCACAAACAAGCCATTCCATATTTAATTTGTGCTGTTAACCTTACAGGGCTGCTTTTGTCCAACCCAAAGAGCTACCGAAAGGCTCAGGAGCCTGAAAAAGCGATCTTCCGCCATATAGCAATCTCCCTTGTTGCCAGAGTCTGGCACAATGCCTTTGCATTGACCTCTACAGCTTCCTCTTCCAATGTACACCGCAGTCACATGGTCCCAGCACAGCTCCATGCCACAGCTAATCTTATACACCGCTCAGCTCCAACCTCAGCAAGCAGCTTCTCATCACTAACAGCTGCTAATTTGGGGAACGACTCAACTTTTCAGGTTTTTTCGTAACAAAAAAACCCACCCCACAGCAAAAAAAAAAAAAAAAAAACCCACCCCACAGCAAAAAAAAAAAAAAACTGGGGAAAAAAAAAAAAAAGCCATAACACAGCATCCATGTTGAAAGAAATCTAGAAACTACATCCCACTGGTCGCAGCTCTCTGCCTTCAGCGCTCTGGGCCAGAGCAGGTAAAGTGGGTTACAGGAACACAATCCCAAGTAGGGCAGGGGGAGACAATCTGACTAGAGTTACACCCTGAAAATACAGGCAACGCAAAAGATGCCCCAACTTTAATTGTTTTTTCACAACTGCTACCACATCCAATCCCTGCATACTCCACTTTATCTCCCTGCACAGCCTCAGTTCGGGTTTTAAAACATGCAGCTGCTTGTAATGTGTCGTGGGGGAGCTTCCCTTCCCCACTGAAGAGTTTGTTTTATGCTCTCCACAAGCCTGAAATTGTTCAAGTTAATGTATTGTTATTTTGGAGGAATGATTTGTAGTGCGGAGGAAAGGGGAACTTTCCCCAAAAAAATCTGGGGAAATTTGAGAGCGAAACGATGCGAAGAAATATGGAGTAACCTGCAAACTCACAGGGAAGAACAAACACAGAGATCCCCAAAAAAGAGAGGGAGATGATACAAACGAAGCTAAACCACTAAGCAAACACAGAGAGCTGGGAACACAGAAACAACACAGACACACCGCTCCATAAGCCAGCGCAGATACCACACTCCCAGGCAAACCCACAATGCACTCGCCACGCATAGCTACAAACCCGCAAGCAAACAGAGAAACAAAGACAGCGACAGACACGCCGGGATGCGAACGCACACACGCGTAGGCACACACACGGGCAGGGGAACGCAGAGGCGCAACGTACATGCACATGAACTCGGGGAGACGCGCGAGCACACGCAGAGGCAGCATTACCCTGAGCTTAGCTCCTTTTCTCTCGCAATAGGTACAGCGCACCATACGGCTCTATTCCCTCTGGCATTGCAAGGGCTCCCCTGCCACTGAGCTCAGCCCATAAACCACTCCCAAACCCCAGCAGAGGCTTCTGTTTTTTGTTCGGGCCAATGAGAAAAGTATAGCTCACTCTTCCTTCCTCCCAGGAGCAGCGCCGGCTGGTTGAAATCCCTAAGCCTGAAACCGAATACCACAAACCCATGAGCCAACTGCAAGTGCCAAACCGGGGAAAAGGAGCAGGCCCTGCTCTGTGCGTTCGCTCGCTCGCTCCCTCTCTCCTCTCCCCCAGGGCGGGAGAGGTGCTCCCAGGCGTCGGACGACAGAGGCTGCGGTGGCCTCCGGCAGCATCCCGGCACCCCGGGGTCCCCTTCTCCCAGGCCTCGTCTCACAGTATCTGGAAGCCGGAGCTGGAGGGGAGACGGCAAGAAACAATAGCTACCTTTGGGCGACTCCTCACGCTAACGGCCTGACCCGCACTGAGCAACACTCCCACACTGGGGCCCTGTAACCGAAAGCCACAAATTACGCCGCAAGACAA